TTAAGTGGATATAAATAACTAGGTATAAGCACATGATCTTCAACTTTTCTTTATTATTAATTTTCCGCGCGTTAAGTTAAGTTAAGTGGATGTAAATGACACTTAAATCCTATGGAGTTTTATGCAATTTCGTTTTGACAAAACATGGCGGGTGGGCCCTATCAAGGTTCCTATTGTCGCCAGTGTCTTGTATAAAGTCACTGTAGCTTTTATTACAGTGGCTAAATAAACCTTTACATACAGTGGCGACAATAGAGGTCCCGCCGCCATTTTGTTCCCAACCTCTTGTTACTTTTAAATATTAATATATGGTATTTTAAATGTACATCTATCATAAAAAATTGAAATCGACGTATTTGATAACTATTATTAAATCCATCAAATACGCTGTTTTCCATGTTTTATGATGGATGTTCACCCAAATCCCATATATTCATATTTGAAATGAGCAATAAGTGGGAACAAGACAGCAATTGTCGCCACTGTGGCTAATAGAGTCACTGTAGCTTTTATGCGGATAGTGCGCCATCTACCAATAATTATACCAGCTACTCAATAATAATATTATAGGGTAGTGTTATGTTTGATATAATTGATAGATAATAGATGGCGAAATCGAAATTGTAAAATTATATGCATGATTTCTTCCCCATGTGAGGTGGTGTTTTGGGGCCCCCCTCATTTCGGGGCCCGGGGCTTTAGCCCCCAAAGCCCCCCCTTAATCCGGCCCTGACTATAAAATACTCAATTAATACCAAAAAATAAATTTTCAGTAGAAAATATGTTTGTTTCTTCAAAAATAACCGTTTTTTTCTTTAATGGCCGCCATATTGGTTTCCAAGGTGGGGGAAGCAAGTGCTGCGGGTCACATCGATCTAATAGACCTAAACATCATCTGTACCAAGTGGCTTGCTTTCTTCATTATTCGTCAAATCTTTCTGTGTACCGCTTCGGCTAATAGATGTAACGTAAATGGATCAATCTACAGTGGCTAAATAAACCTTTACATACAGTGGCGACAATAGAGGTCCCGCCGCCATCTTGTTCCCAACCTCTTGTTACTTTTAAATATTAATATATAGGATTTAAATGGACATCTATAATAAAAAATTGATATCGACGTATTTGATGACCATTATTAGGTCCATCAAATACGTTGTTTTCCATGATTTATGATGGATGTTCACCTAAATCCCATATATTCCTATTCAAAAGTAACAAGAGGTTGGGAACAAGATGGCGGTGTTTTCAATATAAATATATGGGATTTTAGAACCAATCAAAAATAAGACAGCAATTGTCGCCACTGTGGTAATAGAGTCACTGTAGATCAATCCATTTACGATACGCAGACATCATTCTTATTAGTGATACTACTGAAGAACTGCAAATGATAGATGATGCTAGAATTCAATAGAGCGTCCCTATAAGTACGATTAACGATGAACTTGAGTAAACAGTGGCGGATCTAGCATGAAGCAAACGACGCACTGTGCGTCGGGCCCCCAGAGCTGAGGGGTCCTCACACAACCAGATTCTAAAGGAGCCGATAAAAACAAATAAAAAAAAATAAACTCGTAGATATAAAAAAAAAACGAAAATTAAATTTTGAAAGAGACAGCAACGTTGTACAACAGGATGCCTATTCTTGAAACCGGGGCACAGCGTTCTCACGAGAAAGAACGATATTGCTTTGTCTTTGTCAGTGTTATGGAAATAAAAATATGGGCAACTAAGAGAGAACGCTTATCTCCTGTTTCGACAATAAAGGCCCTGTAGGGAATCCAGGGCTGGAATCATGACAAGTAGAAATCCACTTTCATGACGTCATTCGCGACACATTTATCGCGTACAGTACAGGCGACAATGAACTAAACAAACACACTGGAACGGTGGCTGCATAATGTTCCCTACGCAGGGGTTTGTGCCAGGAAGGACAACAAACAAGTGGGATTTGCATCTCTCTCTGCACTATGGCGGCTATTGAGAACAGCTGTTTGAAGTGTTTGGATCATTGAGGTTAGGAAGATGAAGAAGCTCTTCTTTCTTTTACGTTAATCGCAATGAGTGCGAGCGAGACAACAATCCCTCTGTATTGCTGGGTTGCATATATCAAAATTCGGCACACTAGCATAAAGCAGTGTGCCCGTTCCAGAGTGTTTGTTTACTTCAATGACAGGCGATAATGACAATTGTTAGGCAACCTGACGTCATAAAAGAGAAATTCTAATAGAATGTCGTGATCCCAACCCTGATGACACCACTTTAGGCGGCTTTTTTTGCTATTAGGCAATTTTTCGCGAGGATAATCGAGCATAATCTGATTATGCTAGGTTATGTGATGTGTCAAATTCTGGGCCTGCGAGTGACGTCACTACTATCAGCCGCTTGTAGTGATGACGTCACCCGCAGACCTCGATGGAATGCTTGCTATTCAGGCTGTGCTAGTGTTAATTTTTTCGTCGATTTTAAATGAAGAAAAGGTGATTTTCGGTCTGTTCTCTCAGAAGAAATTAGGAGTTCTTGATCCTCGAGTATCCCAGAATTTGATGGTGGGGGATGAGTTAGGGGAGTATGACACAAATGACACATCATATAATCCAGCAAAAGATTATGCTTGGTTATCCTCGCAAAAAATTGCCTATTGTCTTCTAAACTTTTTATGGCACTTGTCGGTGAAGTACGGACAGTATCAGTGCAGTGCGGTACTACTATGATGTAAGTATTTCTTTTTGTTTAAATAAAAAGTTCTTAAATTTTTATAATTTTTTTTTCGTTTAACTTGTTTTCTGTCTCATATATGTTCTTGATAAACTTGTTTTTTGATTAAGTTTATTTCTATATTTGGTTGTTAAAAACAAAAATATAAATAACTTCCGCACACTCTCACTTTACAGCCCAACACCACAAGAAAAATACCTTAAAAAAAGCATGACAGGGCCCCAAAAAAAATTTTTGCGTCGGGCCCCAAAGGTCCTAGGTCCGCCACTGTGAGTAAAACTAAAATATAGAGTCCTTTAGTAGCAGAAATAAACATAAAATCATACCCTAGCTAGAGAAAGTACCTAAGGAAGCAACTATGTTGAACGACTTTTGGTCAGCTTAGGTTTATCCTTGGATCGGACCATCGGACGATAGCCTAATAAATATCAAACGAAAAGTATATGATTCATGCATACCTACTGCGTGTTCTTAAATATGGCTTGGAAACCTATTTCGAAGATCTGTACACACTCTGCAGATAATACAGCGAGCAACGGAGAGGATTATACTAGGAATTAGTTTGAGAGATCGAGTGCTAGCTAAAACGACAGAACGACAGATGAACAAGATTGATAGTATGGCGCCCAAGAGAAACAAAGAGAGTTGTTGGAAGACTCCAGAAAAGATGGCGAGATGATATTGTCACAATAAGCTAAACGTCCGCCAGGCTGTCAAGAATCGATCGCGGAAATACTAGAATCTAGCGAATTATTCTACTTTAATCTGGAAAATTAGATTATCGTGTGTATTCTAGATTTCACAGGAATAGATTTAGGGATATATAAGAAGGCCGGCATTGGTTTGTAAGTTAGTTTCAGTTCGAGTGTGATACGATTTAAATAGTGATTGTAAAGAGTTTAATTGTTGAGTTAGTAAAGTAATTAGTGTCAGAGTGTTTTGTTAAGTGGAATAAATTATTGCTGTGTTAATTGGACTTTGATTTTTGGAATAAACGAAACGAACGACGAACCCAAGATTTTTGTCAGCAGGCAACCCAAAGCCGCGACAATATCTAGATCCAGAACATTTGTAGCAGAGACCATCTCCTCTCTATGAACAGTAGCTGAATAGACGGGCCATTGGTGCCCACAAGCTCTAATTATTTCTGGGGTACCATTGAAAAGGAAATTGAGTGCTCTTTAAAATAGCGTGCCACTTGACCCCCCATCTTGCTGAGCAACTTCAAACTTTAAAAAATATAAAATAAGGTTTCCTTCATTAAACATGTCAAACTAGAAATTGATATCTAAAGCAGCGTTTTCCTAGCAACGCACATTTTACGCGCGGCGTGGAACGTAATTCGGTCGGCGTAAAACGCTGAGGACATGTCTAATGAAAATCAAATGGAAGCGTTTTTCTACACTGCGTAAAAACGGTAATACGGTCGACGCAACTGAACGACTGCTCGAAGAGCAGTCTATTCAGTTGTACGCTGCGTGTTGGCAAAGAAAATGCTCCTGTTGTATTATATTTCTATACCTCAACGTTAGGCCAAGTTTTTCAGGTGGCGAAATAGGATGTCGCACGCGATTACATGATTTCTTACTTAAATCTTTTCTCATAAGATCGAGGAGAAATGAGAATTGCTGCCTTGTTGTAACTCTGAAGTATGCTTTTCAAATTTCACTTCGTCGTCGAGCAGATGTTCATGGATAAGTATTCTAAATGCTCCTTCGCTTCTTTTTTTTTGAAATAATTGACTAGAGAATTTCTAGTCCTATCATGAATCGTGGCTATTATATCAATATCTTCTTGCAAATTTTCATCTTGTAATAATAGAGCTATTTCTGCAGAAATCACAAACCAGTCAGAGTGAATTTTATTGGTTGAAATTAGTTTTTTGACTGTTTTCAACCAATGAAATTCGTTCTGACTGGTATGTGATTTCTGCAGAAGCAGACTTAATAATAAAGCCTCGAATAAAGCCAAAGCTAATTTCTTTATTGATATACTCATCGCGACGATCAGGACACAACTGACAATCCTAGGAAAACACTTTTACGCAGCGCAATGGATGTTGCGTTGCGTCGGCCGTATTACGTTCTACGCCGCGTAAAATGTGCTTTGCTAGGAAAACGCTGCTTAACTAAAAAATTAAACTATATGGCCTCTTTTCTGAATTAGATCAATTTTCACGAAAAAACTGAATTTTGAAAATTTGTCAAAAATTTTCTATTTTTCTGAAAACTGGCTTGATTAACTCTTGCCTGAATCAGTTTAATTTTTACGAAATTATATTTAAGAATTAAAAAAAAATATCATATCCATGTATGTTTTCAAATAGTACCATAATGAAGCTCCAAATCACATAATATTTGACTGTACTATTATACAATTAAATATTTACTTAAAATATGTCTTACATGGCACAATGATGGCGGAAAATAGGAAATTTCTGTATAAAAAGGCTTAAGATATTACCGTAGAGAAATCAGTCTTTTTACTGATACTTTTAAGACACCATTATGATTACGTGGCAGGTAAATATTATTCAAAAATCTATTAACTAAAATATATCTATCAATGATTCACCTTTACATGAAAAATACAAAAATCTAATTCGAATTTTAAGACAAGTTAGGAACCTATATTATTATTTTTTTTTTAGATACTCTTCCTATCAATTATTATTCTTGCCGGTTGCACCAATTATTCCGAATCAATCCCTAATGATGGCTTCCGCACCAACCAGCTACCACCCACCAATTACTTTCCTGATCGACCATTGCCAGTCAACCCACAACCCTACGGATTCAGCCCACCGCAAAGAATAATTATTCCAGTACCACGATTTTATCCGGTGATTCAAAAAGTACCAGTACCTGTCATTCATCGAGTAGTAGAAAAAGTGCACGTTCCTGTTCCTCGACCGTATCCAGTTCCAGTTGTACAAAAAATAGTAGTGCCGATTGTGAAAAAAATTAAAATACCTGTTCCAGTACCGCAACAACTTCCTTATGGCGTTAATTCTCTGTATAAATAAATAAATTATTTAGTTTGATTTAAAGAAACTATGAGCACTAACTAATAGCACAGAAACTAATAGTGGTTTCCTAATAATTATTTCTTAAGGAAAGTTCACGAGGTTGGGAAAAAAATAAATAAAACAACAAAATTACAAATACTTAAAAAAAAAACTTTATTGGTCTGTCTAGCAAACGTAAAAAAAATATAAAGTAACTAAAAAACGAAAAAATTGTTCTCTTATACTAGAAAAAAACTTAACTTAACAAATTCAATAGTTATCTTGAAAATCGGACATATTAACCATAAAAATATGTTTCTCACTTTAACATGATCAATTTCTTAAATTCTAAAATACGACCATATAACACAATAATTCATAATATGAGCTCGCTCGAAAAGCAAGTATCACAGATATTGGAGTTATATGGCATAAAAAGGTTGGGTTGAATTTATAAACTTGATATTATTACACTGCCATTATTGACAGCAACTTTTTCAGGAATCGAGTTTCATATGTAACCGCCTTTTTGAAATGACAAACAGGAATTGTCAATTGTAGTGTATGTGGTATGTCATTTTTCCTTCTCATTATTGTATTGTCATGTCACTTGTCAGTAATTTTCTAACACTTCTGACTGTCAAGGATGCAATCTGACTGATAAAAACAAAATCTTAAATCACATTGGTCGACCAGTTATCTACTAACCAATACAATTATTATAGAACAGTAAATTTATCTTGCAGATAGTTACCATCAAGTTTATCTGAAGATGAATAAACCGGGCCTAAAAAGTTAAAATATTTTTCACAATAATTAGAAACAAAACAAATAAACAAATTATGGCAATTACTGACAAACTCTTTAAATTCAAATTCATAAATCCAACTTTTTTAACTTAAAAACTAATGTCATTTTCTTAAAATTACCGAGATTACTCTTAATACTTGTAACTCATCCGAGTTCTTGATACAAAAAAAAAATATATTTATATTCTTCCCTAGAAAAAAAGAATTATTATTCCGATTGTGTTTTTTTCCAACACATAATTATTTTTCTTATTATTATTGTTGATTGGTAGCTTTGGTATAAAAATGGGGCCACTACCACTCTTCGTCTCCCGCCTCTGCTGGCTGCTTGTTGAAGTTTTGGCCTCGACCATAATCTTCCTAAAGACAAAAGTTTATATAAATAATTAATACAATACATATTTTAATAATAATGTAAAATCGTTTATGTTCTCATAAAATTTGAAAAGTAGAAACAACTAAATTATACATAATAGATAAAAATCACCAAAAACTCAATTATAATGAATATATAAATTTGTGAAAATCAAAGATATAATACAACAGTCTAAAAATCAGGAGAATTAAAAAATTCATCCCTCAAAAATTGTAAGACTGCCTTTTTGAATTTCCCAATTTCCTTCATATTCCTATCAGCAGGCAGGAGTCTGTAAGTTTTAATACTCCGATAATAAGGGCCTCTTCCAAAAAATGTGAAGTGATGTGTGGTGATGCGGAGTTCATTCCTACCTCTGGTAAGTATATCGATGTTATTGTCATAGCCACATTGTCGTTTTTTTTGTTTTGAAAAAAGTAACAGGGGGACAAAATACAATCCAGGCACAGTAAGTATATTCAAGTTCTCTAAGAAAGGCCTACAAGAATGAAGATGTAGGTTACATCTAATTATTTATTTTTTTTGAGTTTCAAAAATTTCATCAGAGATCTGGATGCTCCTCAAATAACGACTTCATAATTTATCTGAGACTGCACATAAGCAAAGTAGAAAGTGTGTTGCAGTCAAACGACCTGTCTCGAAGTCTGCCTATCAAATCACATATGCTATTCAATCTGCATTGCAGGTTTATAATGTGCTGCTTCCAGTTCACAGGTAAATCAATGTAGATGTCAAGAAACTTCACAGAGGTTATCTTTGGAATGGATCCATGATTCTCCACTGAAGGCGATTTTCACTGCACCAAGTAGCCATCTGACCAACAAACTATAAGGACTCCCGTCTAACAGGACAACTGATGTACCATCAGAATATTGCATAACAGGAACTTATTTATCAGAAACACCCAGAGCCATATAATTGGTCCGGAACAAGTATCCACTATCCAAGGGACTCCCTCAGGGATCTCCATGTCTTCACTTAGCACAATTTTATTCAACGTATACATGAAGGATATTTTCGAAGTTGTGGATAGGAAACTAGTTACTATGGCTTATGTAGACGATATCATCATATTCACAAAAGGGAAAGACATTCTCAACCTGATAAATAAAATGAATGTTTTCGTGGACAAAATAAACAACTGGCTCACAAACAATGATCTTTCACTTTCACCAACAAAATGTGACCCAATGCTCTGCACCAAAGGCAAAAGAAAAGGAGACTTTCCCCCTATCATCATTTAACAACAACAATTAGCCTTTTCAGAATCCATCAAATATTTGGGTATGATCATCGATAGCCAACTTAACTGGAATAAACACACAAAATATGTCACACAAAAAGCCAGAAAAAACATTAACATTTTGAAAATGTTCGTCAAATTATGGTGGGGGGCCGACCCACAATCATTGATAAACATTCACTCCGGAATCGTTATGTCACATTTGGAATATGAAGCATTTCTTCTTAATGTAAGCAAGAAAAATTCAAATCCTGACAGAGGCAGAATCCAACCAAATGGACTTCAGTTTTAGACAGTTATGGCTGGGAACTGAATTTTTACTAAAACAGTTAACATTCATTCCCTATCTGGTTCAGGCTTTCAACTATTTCTTCCCTTACAGAAACAAAACAGAAAAAATCGACATACTACCATGCTATAACACTAAATATGAAACTTAAATAAGAAACATCTCTACCACAAATGTGAATATTGGTAATAGAGAACACTTTGCAAAAATAAAATTCATGGCTGACACGGAAAAGTGTTAGAAAAGATTTCACATTCATTTACACAGATGAATAAAAAAAGAAACTTAAAGCTGGTTTTGGCGTACACTGTCCTTCCTTAAAATACAACTTCCGCTGCAGACTGCCAGATGGTGGATAGCAATCCACAAAGCCATTATCTTCATAGCCAAGAGAAACATCAAAAACAATTTCAATATTTTCACCGATTCTAAAAGTGCAATAGACATTCTCAACCAAAGTTCTATGAACCCAGACATGGATAGTTTAGCATTGAGAGCCAAATCACTACTAATTGGAACATACGAGGCGGGCTATGACATCAAATTGGCATGGATACCCAGTCACGTTGGTATCCGTGGAAATAAAACAGTCAACGAGTTGGCATATGTTGGAAGAAAACTTGATGTCCCAAAAAGCCTATCTCTAAACAAAAATAACACACTGACTGCCATCAAAGAAATGATTTCAAAAGAAACGAATCGGCTTGGAAAAACTGATTCAGACATGAAGGCAGGTGGTATACCCAGTTACAAGACAGTTTACCCAGATCAACATGGTTCAAAAAATACCCATACATAGATGGACGACATATTAACTATTAACAACAATAACAAGAATGCGAACCGGACACTTTCTCTCCAATGAATGTTTACACAAGATTGGTAAAAAAGATTCCCCACACCAAACTGTGAATTTGGCCAGATTGAAGACTGTATGCTCAATGAAAAAATTAGACAGCGTTGATATCTAAGGTTGATATGTATTGGCACATAATGAAAACCGGACACCAAGCCCCCCTTTCAATCATCACGATCTTGCTTGTAGGTCTTTAATATCTTGGAATCGTTAGGATAAGGATACAAAATCTCAAAACAAATTATATGATTTAGATTTTCGAAAACTTTGGAAGGGCATAACTTTTTTGCTATTATTGATAGAAAGCTGAAACTTTTACTGAATTTTATCCCAATCAAGGGAATACAATCCCTGAAAATTTAAGCTCATTTGCACTTATAGTTCCTGTGATAAAATCGTGTTAAGCAATTTGGGGTGATTTATCAATTTTTTTGAGTGCATTTTTTCATGGATTTCGGCTTCAAATCTGAGAATAATTTAGTGTATGAAGTTTGGAGTATGTTAATTGACCACTGTTTTGGAACGAACAAAAAAACGCTCGACGAAATAACATTATAATCAACAATCAGTCACTATCACAAGCAGTAGAATGAGTGAATAAAAAAAAAATACATCCCAAAATTCTATTCCAGAAAAAACAATTACCCAACCTATGTTGTGTATTTACAACCTCAACTCACAGGAAAAAAGAAGAAAACTGAACGAGAAGAAAAACCTGAAAGCCGTCAAAATTAGGAATGGAAAATGGTACCTGCAGCATGCCCTAGAGCCAGACAGCTCTCCAGATAATCACAAATGTGCTGGCAAATTGCCCTTTACGGAGCAGAGCCAAATACCAGATAAAAAGAAGAAATTCCCATCCACTGAGTCAAGTAGGTCATTCACATACAATAAGAAGAGCAATGGCCCCAGTATGGAGCCCTTTGGGACACTCCTCTGTATTAACAGACTCTCCAGAAAATATTTCTGTCCATCATGTAGGATTAGAGATTAAAGTGTTTAGTGTGGTAACGTTACCGCAGTAACGATAATTTTGGTAAGGTAATTTTGGTAATTTAACCCGACAAATTTCTTTACCGGTAATTTTCAGAAATGCTTCCTGAATGAAATCACATTCAGGCGACAATCCTTTTCAAGCATTATTCGTCATCTTGTTGTGAATTTGTAACGCGCTTTCAGGGTTGGCATAAACGAATAGTTGTTTACCTAACAAGTGCGGAAAGTGGTGCTTTTCCCTACGCGACGGCAGTTGGCAAACTGTCAAGGGTGGAAAAGGCATTTTCGAGTGAAATTTGCAGAGAAAACACGCATGAGTGAAAAATTATCTGGTTCATTTTAAAGCTCAAGTGGTATTTAGAGGATTATTTCACGTATGAGAATGCAAAAAATATGGAATATGGGAATAAATATTAAACGATTTGAACATCTTAACAATCAATACAAATAAATGGTTGCTATCAGGAACCGTTTGTTTGTATCAAAAATTAGCCTGATTATAGTAGTAGACGTGTAAAGTAGACGTGTTGTAAATTCGCTCCCTAAAAACTGTCTATTTTAAGTGTTGTAGTGAAATTAAAAAGTTGAAAATTGCACAGTACATTCATAAGTGATTTGTGAGGTAGAATCTAAAATTTGAATAGTAATGGATAAGTACAATACGTGTAATTATATGTTAACTAATTGTTTGGTTTACAATATAATTTATTAATTTTATGCATAAAAAGTGCAAAAGATAAGGTTCTCCAAATATTTGTCAGTCAAGGTGAACATTTGAACTTTTTGTGATGCACTGACCTATGGTACACTAATGTGTTTATATTTACATTTTTCCTATGCTGTTTAATGGATTTTTTATTCTGATTTTTAATTAATATACAGAATGGCCCTAGTTTTTAATTGTTGCAAGAACAAAGCTCAAAAAAGTTGGATTTGTATACAATGTCATGGTATTTTTCATAAAAGCTGTAGATCGAGACTAAACAGGGGAGTAGAAATAATTGAGGGAAATCTTATAATTTGTTCTGAGGAATGCTCCGGGCGAGTTAGTGAATCGGAATCGCCTATTTTTACATCCCTACAACAAACGATATGCAACTTAAAAACTGAACTAAGCAGTAAATCCAATTATATAGTTAAATTAAAGAGTGATCACCAAATGCTTCTTCAGGAAGCTGAGAATTTGGAGAAGCATTTGGTGCAAGAAAATAATGATTTGAAAAGCATGATCACATCCCTTAAGGCTAAGAATAGGGTAATCCCAAAGGAGTTGGCGTCCACTTTTACTCAAACAACTCCTCCAAGTACTGTTTTGCTCCATGTCAGTTCACAAACTCTTTCAGTTGCAAGTAAGGAGGAGTCTCTGGGGTGGTCTAAGAACGATTGGCTTCTATTAGAAGAAGAACTAGAGGACACTGAAAAACAACTTTTGGAGCTTGAGGAGCTTAGATGTCAAATGCAAATCACTATTGAGACCCAAAATCAGGAAAATATTTTTTTGTCTTCTGAGCTTGAGAGCTTGAAGCAAGCGGTTTCTGACACTATTACATTTTCGCCACCTGTGTGTGGGTCAACATTAAGGGGTAGGAAAGACAGTGCG